CTGTCTTGATGATGACAGCTTTGTAATAGAGCTGGAAGTCCGGAATTGTGATGCCGCCGGCTTTGCTTTTCTTTTTCAACATTCCTCTGGCTATGTGGGGTCTTTTCTGGTTCCATACAAATTTTAGGATTATTTGTTCCATTTCTTTGAAAAAAGTGGAGCGATACACTTTAGATTCAAAGACACAATAGGTTGAAAATAAAGAGATAGAAACAAATATGCCACTCAAATAGAGAATTCAACCACAATAACTTGAGACATCAATACCCTACTACTAATGGTGACTGCTAATGGTTAGTTTCTTTTGGGAGTGATGAAAATATTCTGGAATTACAAAGTGATGGACTGTAATTTAAAAACACTGACTTGTACATTTTAAAAGGGTTGGTTTTATGGTATGTGGGGAAAAAAGAAAGGTCCTACCCCTGCTCCCACTCCCTGCCATAAACACTCGGTTGTTGGACTTAAGGGGGTCCCCACCATTTACCTTAGTTCTGTTATTCTTCATACCTCATACCAACTTCTAATAGAACTGAAAAGGCACATTCTCCTCTTTAAATAAATTTCATGGAAAATGAACCAAGCTCTATCCATAGGAGAAGGCGCTGAATCACCAGGACAAAAGCAAGGAATCTGTGAATCACTCTATATCAACACTTCCCAAAGTATGCTCCATAAAACACTAGTGCCATGGGAAACAAACAGGTTGCAAAGAAAAGAGTCCTGTGGTCAAATAAGTTTGGGGAACCCCAGGTTAAATAAAGTTCATCTCTTTTCTTTACTGCTAGGATTTCTTGTCTTCAGTGTGCTAGCATGCACTATAAGCTTCAAGCCCAGGGTATTGGTAAGCACCATTTCCCAAGCTTGTTTGATGAGGGAACCCTTTTGTTCCTCAGAACATTTCTCAGGACTAGTAATAAATAAATTCATTCATTAAAAAAAAAAAACGTCCTAGATCGGTCTAATGGGACATCTCAGAAAACCACAGAGGCTGGAAAGCTACAGAATAGTTAGCTCCCTATCACATGACTACAAGAGAGAACATAGCTCTGCTCAAAAAGTCAAAATGCTCTTGAGGGTGGTGAGGTCCCATATGAAACTGAACAGGACATCACCAAACTCATCTAAAGCATTTGCTGACAGGAACTGTGTCTTACTCGTCTTTAAATCCCTAGCACCTAGCATGACGACATCTGGCAAACAGTTGCATCTGACATGCTTATGAAATGAATGGGTGAAAAAATATAAAGAGACTCAAGTTTCAAAGGGATTAATTTGTATATGGCATGTAACAACTTCTAGAACTCGCCTTCAAAAAGTGATTTAGGCTCAACAGTCTTGCACAATTCACAGCGCTTACCAGAGCACATACCCTTCCCAGTGTCTATCACCCAGTCACCCCATCCCTCCCACCCCACCCCCCACTCCAACAACACTCAGTTTGTTTCCTGCGATT